GAATAAAAGGAGGGGGGGGATGATTTCTTTCAGTCTCCCAATTGCTTCTCACAGTCAACCACAGCCTAAACTTTGTAGACCCAGACACAAGTGCGCACACCCAGCGCATTGAAAATACATGGTGGGGAGTCAAACGAAGCATGCCTCGTACAGGAACATGCAAAGATCTCTTCGAAAGCTATCTACAGGAATGGTTGTGGTGTCAGCACTACGGAGATGATCCTTTTGGAAACATTATCAAGCATATCGCCGACTTATACGAATTGCGCAAAGATGCTTAAATTGTTCCTCGTACCACTGTATGCACTGTTTGTGATCTGATCGCCACTTCATGGAGGAAAGAAACAAAATACACAGCTCCATCGCATGGGTCTGAATTTGAGGAAGGAAATCGAGGGCAAAAAAACGCGGAGAGACGCGACAGGTAAGCTAGAATTTTATTTCACTTCGTTTACATTTACAAAATTAGTATAATAGTCGCTAACCCGCGCAACAGATTATAGCTAACCGCAAGCAGCCGGTTTTGCTTAGGCCTAAAACAGTATTTTTAAGCTTTTTTAAACTAGCGAATAGGTCTAAATCGCTATTATTTGAAACAGTTTTAAGCCTGCGCTCAGTTTAAAAATACGGTAAATGCGCCCAAAATTTTGATATTTCGTTTCGGTTTTCCGTAATTTAGACCTAAAACTCGAAAGATTATTCTAAGTCTCCAAAAAAATCGTTCCGTTTTTGCGTATTTTAGATAGAAAATTCGAAAAAAAATCAAAATCTAAAAGTATGCAACACTTAGCAAAAAAATGGTAAAATTTAGAGTTATTCAAATCAGATAAGTCTCAAAGGAGCGCTATTGTTTTCGCTATTGTTTAGTTAAACAAAGAACTGTGTATGCATAATAAATGTATGGGGTTATACGGAAATCTTGCCGTGTACTGTATTCTTTAGCTTACTTCGACATAAAAAGGCATTTTTATAGACGCTCTTACCTTAAAAACCAGCTTCGACAACGAATCACACGAAGGCCGCCATTACAGATATTTCACTAAAGCCCAGTCTCTCGATCCATCGGTGGGTCACACGGTGGCTGCGCCCGCAGTACGAGTGGGAGTCACGAGACCGAACGAAACCCGAAGATAATGTCTTTTTCTTTGCAGCTAACAAAAATATAGACAATGCCAATGTTGCATTGGCCTCTTCTAATACTTAGCTCGAGAATTTTGGGTTTAATCTGACTAAGAATAGTATTTTTGTTCAAGATCAGGAGCCCATTTGTCAAAATATACGACCATCGAGTCGCCCTAAGCTCGCGTTTTCGCCGCCCAGTTAAAAGTTTGGAGACTCAAAGTCTGTAATTTTTTTCAGTTTTTGTAAACTAATATGGTTTTTGGAGTTGTAAATCCATTTTCGTGCATGATATTTAATGTCGTCTCCAGTGAGAAAAGATGCCCAGTCCTAATGCCTTTTGACGCTAAGACAGTTCAGTTTTTCCCGCCTGCTGAGTCCTGATTGGTCAATTCAAATTTCAGGCATTCCAGCAGTATGTAAGGTGGGTTGCGATGTGGCAGACTAGCAAAAAATGTTTCTGATAATCATGTGTTCCACGGATTCAAATTCCAAATACGCAACCTTGTTTTCAAGAAAAACCGTGTTGCATCATGTTTCGGATACTTGGAAATTATATACTATACCTTAGTCTGTGTCGGTATCGATAAAACACGTATTCTCGATCATGGTTTAATGTGTGTCCTCCCGTAATACGGAAATCCAGTTAATATCGACTGAACGTCTCTTCTTTGATGGTCTTTGCCCGAGGAGGAATCCCATATATATAAGGGGCGGGGGTGTCCGTCGGAAGTTTTGAAAAGAACCCCTACGACGTACCAAGATCCTATCTTGAGGGCGTGGCCTGAAATGTTTTTCACCCCTAAGAGGTACCAATTATAAAACAACGAATTAGGGTATGTCATGTTTGTTTCGGCTTAATACCCTAAAAGGTAATGCAAAAGCTCCCGCTGTGAATCTTTGAGGCTGAACTCCCTAAGAGGTACCACAACCGCGTTTTCAACCCCTTAAGGGCCCATTAACCGATTTATGCGCGCGCTCGCGTGCGTTGCTAAGGAGGTGATATTTCACTTCCGGTTACTTACGTCAGCCTGAGCGCGGAAAATAAAAACGACTCAATAACTTGCAAATTCGCTTACATTTTAGATGTTTTTCTTTGTGTTTCGCAAAGTGCAAAGTAAAAAAAGTACAAGGAAAGAGAAAAACTAACTCCTCGTGGCTTTGTTTGATCTTACCGAAGTGCGCTGGTAGTGTAAATTGCTCACGCGCTGATAGGGTTTTTCCGATATATATCGGGCGCACTTCCGGTTTCTTTAAATGCTAAAGGAAACGCGGTTTTTCATTAAATCCAGCCTTTTTCGACGGATTTCGA